TAATATCTCGTAGGAATGCGCAAGCTCGTTACAGGAACGATAAATGGTTACTTGATTGTCGCCGAAGCGCGCTTTATAAATGTTTCACAGGAGACAAACTAAAGTGGTGAAACCTCGAGAGCTCTTTTCGGGTTACGGCACCGATTAAGAACGATCATTGTGCGCCGCTTAAAAGATCGTATCTCCTCTTATCGGATCGTAATTTTCAACGGTAGACAGGAAAAGCATATCATATATTGAACCGCACAAAAAGATGTGCGCGCGCGCGTATGCGTTTTGCGTTCACGTTCACATTCGCTACCGGGCGTGTCTTTATAGTCTGAATATATATTTTTCCAGGTTAAAAAGAAGATGGTGGAATGGGAGGGTTGAGAATGGTTTCATTGAAACTGGGTCGCTCAACCGGAAGAGAATATAGTTTCAAGCTCCTTTAGTTCTGGGTACTTCGTTTCTTCATTATGAAGAACAATCGTAGCACAAAGGGTTCCTAGTAGCAGAATTAGGGTTGCTAGAAAATCAAAAAAAAGAAAAAAAGAAAAAGGGGAAAAGTCGTGGCCAAACGAACCGCGTTAATGAAGTTGAGAAGAAAAGTCGCGACAACGATATTTCTTAACTTCCTTTTTCTTTCTCTTCTCAAGTTGAATTCGAGGAGGATAGGGAATAAAAAGGGGAGAGAGAAAGAAAAATTAAATCTGCGATAAAGTCGATATTCTCTATGGTTCGTAAACTATTTCTCCCCTAAATCGCGTCGAAACGAAGGATGAAAATGGTATGAAAATAAAGCGGAATTTATTCAAATGCTCTTTGGCTCATAAATAAAAGGAGAGAAAGAATAGTGACAAAAAAAAAAGTTACACGCGCTTTTCCTAAAATCTGATGTTTCGATAATGCTGATAATGACGGCGCTGACGTTGACTACCTTAACATTCTGTACTTATTGTACGAACGAACGTACGTACGTGAAAATAGGCAATACACGTGTGTATAGAGTACATATGTATTACTCATTACTAGCCGCAATAGTATGAACTCGTAGTTCTCGCGATCGTCCGCCAATCTATGAGTGGTTACGTGCATGCATAAATGCGTATATACATGCACGCATATATATACCTTCACACAAACGTACACCTATGCGTGACCAATCTCGCATCTCTTGCATTTCAACGTAGCCGCGTGCATGCCGCATATCATTCGTCGCCACATACTCCGGTTTACGTTCCTATATGTGTTCTCTCTCTTACTTTCACTAGTTTATCGATATTATACTTTATATTTGCTACTCATTTCATTCAGAATACATACTTACATATCATCAAAGTTTCCATGGGAAAAAATAAATGAAAAACTCTAACTTATTATTTCTTCAAAATAATTTTCTAAAATAATCTCTTTTTATATAAATTAATACGACTAGGAATGAGTCTGTAAGATATCGTTGAGTCGATAGTCTATGCTAATAAATAATACCATATTTATGTAACTCTTATATGTATTTATGCATGTCATCGACAAAACCGGATAAGCCATCGTGAAACTTGGGAAATATTTTCCAACATGCAGCCAAGACTTTCTATTGCATGTATCATGTATAAAGCATGTTTCTTTTCCTTCCGCCATGTTTTGGTTGGAAAACATGCAGAATCTTTATAATTTTCTTGCGAATGTCGAATATTTATGTGCAATGTTTTCAATATTTTTTTTATATCAGATAAAAGTACACAGCGGCCTTCTTAATAAAGATTATAAATGATATAGTTTAATTTTACTATGAAAACAACTGGATGTATGATATACTATTACAATTATGTTCCTATTTAATTCTTTATCTCTTCACACTCTGATGCTTTGTTCTAATCTATCACTTTTAGATATTTCACGACTTTTTATTTTTCGACAACTTCTTTTTACTGTCTGTCTTTCAATCTCGAACAATGGCACATATCATCTCATCTACAGATTCATTTGTTACATATATGTTCATTCATTCACGCGCAGTCTTGAAATTTTTCGACTTTATAGGTATAATATGAATTTTATCTAAAATATTTTAAGCATCAAAAATAAAATTTTCTGAAACACTTAATATTTGCATAATCATCGACCAAATCAATTGGTGCACAGACTCTCTTCCTTTCTCATATGTTCTTATTATGATTTATTGAAACAGACAAATTTCGAAAATCAACATTTTTCATAAATGTTTGTCTCTTTATGAGACAGAATTTTCATTAAAATAATTAATATCCGAATCAACCGTTACATAATTACCTTAAAATTTAGAGGCAAATGGAAAATACTTATTTTCTTTCAAACATTAAAAATGCCTTTAACTTAATTAATTTCCAAATCAATATTGGTTATGGTATCGAGGAAAAACTTATATTTTTAATAAATCGCTCCTAAATTTAAACAAAAGTAAATAAATCTTCTGTTAAAAATCTTTTTAAAATAGCTGACGTATTCACAAATAATCACGAATTTTTATCTCATGTGTAAAGTATTTAAAAAACTTGTGTTTAAACTATTCGTTTTTTTAATTAAATATTTTACTGTAAATTAAGATAAAAGAAACATGCAAGCCGTATATTAAAAAAAAAAACAAATTACTGAAATTAATAGTAACAGAAACATCAGAAGTGGTTTCAAATTACAAAGAGTGTATAAGCTCAAACAGTTAGCTAACAATTAACAATTTTTTTCATAAGTATCAATTTCTAAGAAAATTTTAAATAAAATGTTTCAATATTAGGTATGCAAAAATTTTTTCTATTTCTCTATTTTCATAACCATACAGAGAATAACGTTCTCTCAGCATTTTCAGAATAAATTTTCATTCGATACGTTGAGCCAAACGAAACAAAGTTGCCTATCATCCTTGCGAATTCAGCTAGTTTACAAAAAGTGAACTTTTGTGAAAAGTTAAATAATATGGTACATTTTGCAATATTTCAAAATAGTTGGAGAGTTTTTTAGAATTCCGATACCGCGTTTAATAATTATTATTTCTAAATCTGATAAACCTTATACCGATCTTCCGGGACGATCGTTACTACGATGTAAATTATCTTTACGGTAAGTACAAAATCGATATACCGGTTCTTCAGGAAAAAAATATTTATCAACGAAGTTTAATTATATCAATGGAAGCATTCGCCGCGTAATTCGTATAAAGAAGTAACGGAAAAATATTTCGTGTTAATTCGTGCATGACGTTATTACGCTAGTCGCGTTTTAATCGCAGATTTGCCTTTGACTTCGATACTTTAGATACGAGTGCAAACGAAAATGCAAATATCATTAAACACCATCCCCGATAATATACGCATGTTATTGTACCGCGGTTTGCTCCCTTTCGATTCATAAATAACATTGTGCGAAAGCGGTAGAAATAATTTGGAAAATGTCACGATCCATCTAACTCTTCCTCTCTATTTTGTATAATTCTGACATCTTTAAAAATGATTACAAAAGTTAAAACGTTCCTACGTATTGTTGATTAAATATTTCAATAAAATCGATTTTCCTGTTTTACGATGACGAGTATAATCCAATTTATTGGAAGTCGAAACTTCACGATAGGAATATTTTATCCTTGACGTAAACTTTGCGAATTACAAAATGTACGAGACGTTAAATAAATGTGTTATAATTATGGAATTATTATAAAAATTTTATTACACTTTTTGTTGAACTCAAAGTTCCTATCTCATTATTGTTTTACATTTATTATCACGGTAATTTTCTCTTGGGTATATATAACAACCCCAATTTCTCCTAAATAACTTTTACAATATTACACCAAAATTTAAAACGAGAAATCGGTAATACTCGCAATTCGAATTTTCTTCTATATTTACGTTTATACAAATACAACATAATTAAATAACAATTAATTGTGCGCATTCTCTCTGTTGTTCCCAAGTTCCGACCATCATGGTACACCACCTCGAAAGCTGCCAATTCGCGATACTCTTTTCAATGGTCGCCGGACTGGATTACCAACTAAATTAATATTGGGTAATTGATCCAAGTTGAATAATTTGTAGAGTTTTGTAAACGAATATGTTTAATTAAGTACCCATGATAACAATAAATAATTGTTACTAATCCAATTATTTCAAGACTACATTAGTAAATTTGAACGAAAAATTTGCTAATCGTTAAATACAAATAATTTTGGCATTTACCTGGAACTAATTTTCTTACATTTGTTTAAAACAAATGAAACTGATTTTTCGCGATTAAGAAAGCTTACTGGTGCTTTCTACTAATTCCACACGCTCACAAAGAAATAATATATTAAATACAATGTATCACCAAGTCCTTTCTTTGATTGGTAGATGTTTAGCTTTTTTGGAAATTCATTACCAATCAAAAGTCGTCGAAACTCCGCACATACGTACATACGTACATACACATAATATAAATGACATAATTTTACTTTTTCGAATTATGGTTATTGATCTCAAAGAAGATCAATTGTTTAAAAAAATAATTCCACCTTTACAGGAAAATTAAGGGTCCGTTAAAAATTCTGCTAATGTAAGTTAGACGTTGGTTGTTTACTTCTCGATAGGTCATTTTTCCGATATTGTCGACAAAATTTATGACAATGAATTCCAAGAAATTACTCGAATGTTTTCCGTTTAAAATGAAACGTTAACAGATATGCAGTTTCAATTGTGCATTAAAACGATAATTCATTCGCTAGGATAAAATGCTGAGATTTGAATCAGCTATATTGATATCAGTATTTTGTTTAAGTACACATATCAAGGAAACTTCAAAGGATTTTGCAAGCATGATAATAATATTGCTCGTAGAAATGAAATGTATTGCACATACCCATTTCAGAAGTGTAATCATAAAGTTTAGCCAGATTCTATTAAAACTCTGTATTTGAGTTTTCATTCGAGTTTTTATTCGAATCAATTCTACTCCAATTTAAACAAAACTGATTCGTATCTAATCCATTTATTGACCTCTTCAATTTTCAGATGCGCCTATTGTCACACTCAAAATGGGTTCATCCCTGGATCCGAAACGCATTAAAGAGGGTGACGACGTTTACTTCGAGTGCACTGTCAGATCCAATCCTAGAGCCTATAAGCTAACTTGGTTTCATGAGGTAAGAGTCAATCGATTTTAACCCAATGCTTATATAATACATCATATAAGACTCCTTTATTTTATCCTTCATAAAAACTGTTTACATATTCACAGATTTAGGCTACCTATTGCTTCTTTTACATTATTTGTTTATTTGTTAATTTTTTTTATTTAAACATTGACGGTAATTACCCATTGTTGCATAAACAGAATAAATATTGAAAGATAAAGGTAATATAAATATAATGCTGACAAATAAAATAAAATAATATAAATATAAATAAATAGATAATATATACATATAAATTAACAATAAATAAAAGGACTATATAAATATATCTACAATATATAAATATAAAATAAACACATATATACATAAAATAAACATATAAACATAAAATAAAATTACAATATATATAAATATATTTATATAATCCTTTTATATTTATTGTTAATTTCTATGTACATATTATCTATTTATATATAATTTATCTACAATTTAAATGCAATTAAATTTTACAAACAATATGGAAACATTTTAGAAATATTACTTTAACAGCGATGCGTATAAAATCGATGACACGATACCTACTTAAACGAAAAAATAGAATGATAATAAGAACACGTCTAAAAATAAAATAATAAATGTCGTTCGGAATTGTACCTTTCTCGAAGGATTAAAGTGACCAACTAACCTGACACAGTTTTGCTATTTAGTTTCGTTTTGTCTCGAGGCTGTTGACGCGATACGAGATCGTTTTGGAGTCGAAGTATCAGCGTAAGGCCCGTAGAGAGAACACAAGAGGATCTAGTTCGCATTGTCGGAAAGCTCAGAGAGGAAGAGAAAGAGAAAGAGAAAGAGAGGGAGAGGGAGAGAGAAAGACAGTAGATGAGAATAGGAAAGGACTAGGCGGATGCTATGTAGGATTTCACCAATCCTCCCAGGAAGCGTACTGATTCGGACTAGGAAATGATGGAAGGCATAATCCTCCTTAAGAGGCTTAACACAACGATCCTCGAGTGACCGAAGATAACGGTGGAACTTTTCAAGTGCTAGCTACCAAGCTTTTTTCGAATACTTTAGCAACAGCAAGGAGCAATAGAGAAATCCTAGAGAAATTCTAACCACTTTTTTTATTCTCTTTTTATTTCTCTTTTTCTTTCTCTTTCTCTTTCTTGTTCTTGTTCTACTACAATCTCTCTTCGCTATTCCATTCTTTATCGTGAAATAAAACTTTTAAAATGAGAGAAGATAGAAAGAAAAAATAGATAGTTGTATCGATTCACTCTTCTTTACTTTTTCGTCGATTTTTAGAACTACATTTGCTAGTACATTTTAATCCTGTAAGAGCGTGAGCGCATCTTACCTAAAAATAACGCGTTAGAATCGCTGATGCAACCAAAGTGAAACTTTCTTATCGGAAAGCGCATATACACATACTCGTTCCTTCAAACTTTACTTTGTCATACTTTTCAGTATAAAAAAAAAATATATATATTACGAATTATTACAGTAGAAAATATTTTCCATTTAATTTTTCCGTTTACTTAAAATAATATACAAATGAAAATATCTTATTTTATAGAAAATTCGGTAACCCGCATTTAAATTATTCGCGATAACGACAATTTTTTCGTTTATTAAAACAATTTAATAAAAAATTGTTTCTTTTATTATCGATACGTTGTATATAAATATATACACGTATATAAGAAAATTTATGCTATCTACCTATTTTCTCAGTAGAAGGTAGAAACACCTTGCAAGAGTCATTAATCAATTAATTTTCACGAAACTGCGGAAACTCAGTTCGTGAGATTCAATTTGCAAAATAACTAATTATTCGCCATGAGAGTCGCATTAATACAAATGCTGTACCTACGTGAAAGTCGTATTCTTTCTGAAACTATATAAAAACGAAAAAAAATGCTTTTTTCGAGTGCGTCGATGAAGTTTTAACTAATGCCTGGCTTTTAATTTAATAACAGAGTCATCCCGAACCATATTATAACAGTAATTCCATGGACTACAGTAAAACATAGCACAAATCATATATCTCCCAGTAATACTATCAACTCGTTGCTATAAGATATACGACAAAAAAATATCTCCCATGATCGCTCAATATATTTTCCCGACGATATTAAATTTCATTTATATATTTCTCATAAATTCATTTCGATTATTTGAAGTAAAAAATGATTCTTTAAGACTCAATTTCAAATAAACTGGTAAATGCAAAAATTATAGCTCGGAGTTTCACGTAGAATACAACTCACAATCAAATGTAGGAATGAAACGTAAATAAATACCTTATAGATATGCATAGACTATAATACATATGAGCATATGTATATGCTAGTCTCGAGAAAGTCAGAAGAAAAGAACCGATATTGTAGACAGCTGTATACAAAGAGCACGTGCCACGCTTTTATTCCGAGCTCTTCCATAGCTACCAGACATGAACCCGAAAGGTATATTATCGCTCCGACAGGGAATACGAATATTTAATATCAAATACCAACGACTCTCCGATACACGACAGCTCTAGATAACTTTTCAGACATCATTTCTGGCTTATTTCTTATTCAAGTTAAAGTAAAATAATTAATGAATGCTCTAGAAAAAGAAAATGAATTAAATGATAAAGCCATACTACATAAATTCAAATATCTACATATAGTAAAACTACATTTTAACCCTATTTATTACTATAATTAAAGAACATTGATAAATTATTGTATTTCTAACATTAAAGAATAATAAGACGAAAAGTTTTACTGAAAACATTTCATTTTACGTTTCCATTCCATCCGAAGCGTGTGAACTCTCTTTTTTTTCAGATAATTATAATGAAATAAAAGTGATAATAATAAAAACTAAAAATATAAAATTCAATTTTGTACACATATTGAAAGGTAAATTTGAAAGTGTTTCCTTGTAGAGCGCGAATCTACAGTTTTCCTCAAACTTTTCGATACCGAATAAAATGAATATACTATCCTCGTTAGATACTTATAAAACAAGGGGAAAGTTTGTAGTCGGTAGAGCAAGTGCGTATGAGTACTTTCGAGTAGATAAAACGATACTCGGCCTTATATACGTTAGTTCCATCGTCCTTCTCGAGAGCACCTTATTTGATCCGACACGATCTTAGTCGTTTCTATTATATGTGCCAACCAAATTTAGCGACTACTCTGCTCCAACGCTCTACTCCTACTTTGCAAATAATACTTAGAGCTCCGCCAACTCGTCGACGAAAGAGGAAAATGTAGAGAGTGAATGGAAGAAAGAAAAGGAGGGAGGGAGAGAGAGAAAGAGAGAGAGAATATATTCACGTAGAAAATTCAGATCCTTGCTCGACATGAAACTTCCTCGAACGAACCCCGAGACACCCAAGATTCTCACCCTCGCTCGTATTTACGAGCCGCAAAGAGTAACTCAATTTTCGACGTGAATTAACCAACACGTTTTTCTCAGCGTTTTCGTTTCTCCTCGGCGGATAAGAGAGAGGTGAATTTCCCTTCGTATGATTATTACTTTCAACAATCGTAATATTTTCTTTTTGGCTCTTGAGAATCCATAGAAAATGAAATAACCTAATCTTTATTGATCTAAAATTATTACCAAACTCTATATCGTATAGTTTAATTCTTTGACAATGTATAAACTTTAATTAAAGTAGTTGTAACAATTTCTACTAAGTACCTAGCAACGCTCCGATTTACTTCACTTTTGCCACTTCGCTTCGAGGAAAGAGTACCTACGACGCCCTTCATTTTATAAATTTGTCTTTTTGAATGTACTCCGGTGTATTACAGAATAATATTATACCTACGTCCAACTAGAAGAAACCTTTTACAACGACCAAATAACGGCAAAATAATAAAAAACATCCATCTTATAATAATCTACATGCAAAGGAGAAAATTTGATGATGTTGCGACACTTGTAAGAGTCATGGAAAATAGATTATTAGATATCATCATAAAACATTCCTTTTTACATCGCATCCATCAACGTCGAAAACTTGAAACTAGTGCGATCCATATTTAAACTCAATCTCTGTCTTTAAAAGTTTTCTTCTACAATTGCCCTACTACGATTCATTTTTTCTGTAGATTTCTTATATTTGAATTAAATTATTATGTTGCTATCGTATATACGCTACCTATATATATACCTATATGCAATAAACGTTTCCTGAATTAAGAAAAAAAATAAAAAATAATGTTCCTCCTACCTCGAATTGTGTATCAACACAGGAGGGCCGTCAAATGGACACGTTGGATGTTGTAGAAGATGAGGAATGAAAGACATTACTCGAGTTAGTACATCGTAAATTCCCTTTGTCCTGCCATTTCCGTCGAAACGACGACGACGACGACGACGACGACAAAGTCAATGTATAACAAGCCGTGATTCCTTACTCGAGTACGCTAGTCACTTTCGTTGATCAGAAGACAACTCTACCGAATACAAAGTTGGACGTTAACTTGGTTACTCGGTAAAACTATTGGCATACCTTTTAGACATCTTTGATATGATGCGTGAAAGGTGCATCTTAACTTTTACCCTCTTTCTCTTCTCTTTTTTCGCTATCAGTTAAATAATTGACGATATAAATTACGATAGTATGAAAATTCTTCAGATAATCTCGAACACGAATAAAAAAATGTGGGAAGAAGTTTCTCAAGTTTTAATTTGGTGTTATCTAAGTTTTATCTAACCTAGATGAAATATGCAATATGCGAAATATTTCAAGAAATACTTCGTTTGCCTGACAATGAAACCTTAAAAAAGAAAAACGAAAGAAAAGGAAAAAAGAACTATGATAACTTGTAAATTAAAATGCATGAGAAATAAATCAGAGGGAAGAAAAGATGTGTCATACAGTCGGTAATGAAGAAATTACAGAGATGAAAGATATGCCGAAGGTTACACCAACTTTTCAAAATTACTTCATCCAGAGAATGAACTTTTCCAACTAACTGTTCGCAATGAAGAAGCGTCAACCGCTGAGAATCGAATCGCCAGGTCGCTCGATTCGAATTCTTTTCTTTTCCCTAGTGTTTTATTCGACGATTCGAAACCTATTTCACGCTATTGCTCGTGTACCACACATTCTAAGATTACTTTTAAATTACGTCGGGCTTACAATCGAGGAAAATGAATATATCAAATTCGTTTGACTTTGAATGTTAAAAAAAGTTCAAGTATCAGACTAACAAACAAAACTTGTAAAGCTTTCATTAAAAAATGGACTGCTGTATTACTCTTAGTAAAGTACACATTTTCCGGAATGCATGTATGCATACGTGTATCCAATCTTTCTCTTTTTATTACACAACATATTGTTAGTCTCGGTATACGTCATTTTATTAATCCTCTTTTTTCTTCTTCTTTCTTTTTTTTTTTGTTGTATCCTACTTTTAACGATGAAACGACGATAAAATCTAATGCAAAGTTCTTTGACACTGTCAACACTTTTTTGGTTGTTTATTTAGGAGGAAGAGCTCCATTACGACGTTACCGCCGGCATAGTGCTTTCAGACCATTCTCTGGTACTTCAGAGTATAACACGAGAATCCGCTGGGAAATACACCTGCATGGCTACCAATGTCGAAGGTCATGAGAGCTCTAACATCGTCAATCTAGAGGTTATGTGTGAGTATGCTTACCGTACTCATTATTTTTACAACTTCCCGGTCTTTGACTCCTTTTTACGGTCGAATATTCTCAACAAATAGAGAAAAAGAAACGTTTGCTATGAAAACTTTGCTACCGCGTTAAAAAATTGAACTCAACGGTGCTTAAACGTCCAAGGATTTCAACGCGTACACGTAACAAGTTTTAAAAAAGAAAAAAAAAAAAAGGAACAAAAAAGTAACAAATAAAAAATTTTGTTCCAATTTAGTTTCACCGATTTGTAAACACGTGTTAAACTTTGGAGGCTGGAGATATCAAAACGCGACACCACCACCCTTTAATGTTCCGGAAGACGTCCATGGTGCCTTGAAGCACGAAACCATAAGCTTGGTCTGCGAAGTTGAAGCAAATCCAACGACAGTGACCTTTCACTGGACGTTCAACAGCAGCGGGGATCTGAACGACATTCCGTCCACGAAATATACTAGCGAGGGTACGATAAGCAGACTGAATTACACTCCGTCAACGGATATGGACTATGGGACGCTTGGTTGCTGGGCAAGCAACGTCGTTGGCCAATCCAAGCAACCTTGCCTGTATCAGGTTATAGCAGCAGGTTCGTGCAAGTTTAATCCTATTTCCTACCTCCGACACGTTGGTCCACTCCATCCTGTAGCATGTTTCTCTCCAAATTCGTCTAGTTATGTTCCACGAAATAGAAACAACATGCACGCAAAGTAACGCTCTTTCTTTCATTAAAATATTGATCTCATACCTAATGCTAGGTACCAAATACCTTAAAATATATCCTTATATTTCGATTTTTATTGCTATACCGTACGTGGATTTTCCAATGCGAAAGAGATTTTATTCTATTGTGGAAAAGGAATGTAATATAAAGCCAGCTTTCGAGAAAATTTGTCGAATCTCTTTAACGTAGATATTTACGAGACGTTAACGTTTAGCGCATCGCGTTTCCGACCTGACTACTCGTTGAAAAAAAAAATGAAAAAAAGAAAAAACGACAACTTCAACTCTCATCTTTCTACTAAACGACAAGTTAAAAGAAAAGTCCCTCGAATCTGTTGGAGTTGAAAAAAAAAAAGCATGAAACACAGCTCGACGACGCATCGCACCCAACCAACCGCCCGTAGTCGTGAGAAACTTTTCTGCGTCACGCCTCCGGGCGCGTGGGTATTTGTGAAAATTTAATGAAAACCATAATTGAATATGTTCATTACACAGCCAAAAGAGACGATTCAGACGGGAGTTGTCGAGAAAGTGAAATTATTGTCCAAAGGTATCATAACGTCGACGTAAATATCGAGTGAACGGAACTTTTGCCGCTTCTCTGGAAGCTAGTTTCTAGATGCTTTTGTCCAAATCACCACGGGAACAATCCAAACTCAACCCGGTCGAATATTTCGCTTGCGCCGCACCGCACGCCGTTCCTACTCGACTCAAGTACTCCCTCGATCCAACCCTTCCTTCTATGTGCCGCTTGCGGTAATTGGACATATAATTTATTTTACACGAAGGCCCAATGTATTTCTTATGTAATTACCGGACAGCACTTTTTCTGCCCTCGGTCGCTCTCTTTTCGTATCCTTCTCCGTTTCCCTGTCTTTCCTTGCACTCCTCGCCTTTTTATCTACCTTATATCGTCCTACGCTGACTATATACCATCGTAAATTTATTTACGTTAAGCAATGGGAAACGTTCGCTCGTTAGTAATTAAATCGTTAGCCGAAACGACGACGCATGCCAACGGCGAATAAGAAAGCTCGTTCTTTTCCATTTTGTCGTTCCGATCTTATTTGAAACTTAACTTAAAGCGATGATCATGCTTTATCTTCTCGTCGTAATTTAATTTTAAATTAAAACAAATGTAAAATAACACGTTGATATTACAATCGTGTTTATTTACCTACGATTCGTACATAAAAGTGGCAATTAATGCTACGCGTACTGTCAATAATGAATTGGATAATTATGATGGCGAAGCGTAATTTTATATGTCGGCCTATAGGCTACAAATAACGTTGCAGTTTTCCCAGTGCAATAAAATGAAGTTACGCGGTTCGTCGAACAATAATTGCCGTTCTTCATATAGTAGGAACTGTGTTTGCCTCTCTTCTAGTTCTTTTTTTTTCTGTTTTTTTTTTTGTTTTTTTTTTTCATTTTTCGTTCATATCGATTATTTCGTCGGAAGGGAATATTAGTCGGAAAATGGGATTTTCTACAACACACATCGAGATATAAACGCACATCTCATGGATTCGGCACTTCCATTAATTTGCTTAATGACGAACGTTTTTATTTCCGTGTAAATGATTCTCTTGCATGAATAAAACTACTTGCAAATTCAATAGCGAGATAATTAATTTTGTTTTGCAACGATTATTTCAGTGATAAAAATTATTAATATCATATATAAAATGAAAATCCCATTGACGTGTATTAATTTGTTGGATAAAAAAAAAGCGTGTTTACTTCGCAGGCAGACCTTACCCGTTGCAAAATTGTACCGCCTACAATCAAAGCGGCTCATCAATAAGGATATCCTGCGTGGAGGGTTACGACGGCGGACTACCCCAAAAGTTTATTGCCTTTGTTGGCAAGCATAGATACGAATCGCTAAGTCCTTATTGGGAATTGGAACTACACAAACCAACAACGGTTATACTTTATGCGGTGAACGTGAAAGGTTCAAGCGACCCAGTCATCATGGAAGAAGTCGCACTGAAAGGCGTAGCAAAATTTACCGGTAGTGAGTATTGCTAACGTCAATTAAATTTTAGAAAATTTCGAAAAAAGATCACGAAGAAAAGATGAAATAAGAAATAGAAGGAGAGAAACGAAAAATACTGTAACCGTCAACTCATAATTAAATTACGATGCAATAACGGTCGTCTTTCTATTCTAATTTTTTAGAAACTTTTAACGCGATTACAAAGAATTTCTACATTTTTTGAATTCCCTTTAGAATATTTACTTTAATTTTTACCTTATTAAAAATTACTATAATCAATTCAATGTGTGTATGCTGAATCTTAACTGTATACTAAAGACGACCATAATAATCCGGCAAAATTCTGCTTAATTAAAGAACTCTAGGTAAACATGGCCATTATTTTGATGTCTCCATAGCAACCGACATTTTTCCCCCAGAAATCATATATATTTATTTATAATTATGCCATTCACAGGCCAAAAATATTAGCTCCACTTTTAGAGAATTTTTCTTTAATAAGATAATTAGATAATTTTATTATCAAAACACTTCGTCAATATTAAACTATTTTTGTTTAAAATTAATTTTCTCGATAATTAAATTTCACACCAGAAAACATGACAAACATTTTTCTGACTGAATAATAAATAATACGACAATGTAAGTAACTTTATCAATTTTCTCTACTTCTCATTTTATGGAATTAATTGATTTGGCAAATGAATGGCTTAATTCATTTTATATTAATTTTCTGTAATTTTATCAAGAGAAACCAGTAATTTGCAAAATGCAACTAACAATAAATATATATAAAATGTTACACTCTGTGTTAAAGCATACAATTTAACTGTCAGCAGCATACTGTATAGCATACTAAGGTGGGAAGCCCTGCAGTAAAAACAGGATTAAAAGAGATGTTTTTCTTTCGTTCTTCATTCGTTTTCACACAAAAAAAAATGAAAGGAACAATTAATTTATCCCGTCGCATTTCTTTGAAGTAAATATTGATTAGTTTTTATATCGAACATTATTTTTCTCTTCTACAATTTATCGGACTACTAATTGTAAGTTTAATTGGATCATTTCCGAGCCGTAACAAAACCGTGAATCGTTATCATATTTTATTGCTTCATATTTCATTCGTTATACAATTAGCAATGGGTCATTGATTAAGAGAAAATTTGACAATTTCATAAATGAAATACAGAAAGAAAGTTTTATCTTAAAAATGCAATAAGTACGAAATAATAATTAACAAAAAAAAGAAACACATTCTCTATTCTAGAAATAACGTAAACGTAGAACCGACATATGCATTTAACAATATAATTTATTGAATGAGTATATTCGGAGAAACGTCATGGAAATATAATTAACATTAATTGACATGAGTGGTTGTATATCTATAAATAAAAATAATTCATTTAATGAATTTAGATTCTAATATTTGGAACAAATACTTAACGGTATCTAAACAATAACGATATTTGCTTTCATTTCGTTCTCTATACATTTAAATTGATAAAATAACTATAATCTATCTGGACAATAAAAAGATTTACTTTTACTCGGATTAAAAACGATTGTGAAATACAAGTTCCTACTATATATTCTCGATGAATAGATAGGACTCATAAAAAAGTTTTACCTTTTTAGCACTTTGGTATAAAACGCCAAAAGTGTAACATTCGAAAGCACAAAAAACTGCTGTTAGTTTCAGTCCTTTGAGGCAACGTGTTTCTACAGAATGATACAGAAAAGAGAAATGAAAAAAAAAAAAAAATGATCGAAACAAAATTAACGTACCGTCTGCCAGCTGGTCGTTAAAAAAAAGCTTTTTGTGATTGTTCCACTTCGAAAGCTTCGCTTTTCATCGCATAATCTTCATGCATATGTATTTGTACGCGTAGATGTATATCTAATACGAAATCGCAATAACAGAACCGTAGATCACGACAATTTTTACGACCGTCAATGCGATCGCACCCAATGAAAACTAACGCGGGTCTAATCGCGAACATTGCGTCATTAGCATTAGATCATACACATTGAACGAAACTATTTGCAATGATTTATCAATCTATACGGTGATTGTATATCGCATTGGTTATCGCACTGCCATTGTATTTTGTGTGTCCATAATTCTATCCCAAATTAAATAAACGTTTTTCCGTATGCGATCACCACGACTGAACTCAAAAGCTTTCCATAGATTTACCGTGCGATAATACCAAAATCGAGGGAAACGTAGATTTACCCCCAACCCCACCCACAGACCTCTTCACCCCAACCAACCCGTTCTCTTTTTCCTCCTGCTCTGTTCACTTCGAAAGCAATTTTACACTTTGCCGCGAGTGAAATAACCGTGGAATAACACAACCGAAAGGTCCGCCGCGAAATCCTATTTTTTAACGAACATCCGTGGGAAGGAAATAAACGGAATTATCGGAATGCAAATGATCTTTCGGCCGAATAGTTCCGGCGTATAGCCAAATACAAAGAGAGAGAAAGAGAGAAAGAGTGAGAAGGGTCAGCCTTGGGTCAGGTCAGGATACGATGGTGGCGGTGCCCGTTTCATGGTGAAACATGGAACGGTGTGCCTCTACAGAAGCCGGAAACAAGCCTCAAAATTTATGAGCTATTATTATGCATTCTGTTTTCTCTCGTCCGCGGTAGTCCGTCCTTTCGTCTGCTTTCTCTTTCTCTCTCTATCTCTCTCTCTATCTCTCTCTTTCTGTTTCCTCCCTTACGTCACCTCAACCATCTACCCCTTTTCACCGTACATCGTCCGTACGTTCCTCCCATGAACGTGCCGGACCGAGCTACTATTTTCGTCCACCGAAAATTTTCGTCACCTTCGTTAATCTTCCTCGGTGACAGAGGATCGCGCACGGACGCGCTTATATGCGTCCATTAATAAAGGCAAGAGAAGAGCTCTTGATATGCGAAAAGCGCGAACGACGAATCATTACGTTCTTTCGTAAGCTTTACCTCCTCCCTACCCTCTTTCATCCACCTCTCCATACCACGTTACTTTTCAAATTATTAACGATAGCACTACCTTCTCGCGATAGATCCTCCATGAGATTGGAACGAAAAACAAATTAATTTTTGTTTAATGACATCTTTTCAACTTCTTGCTCCCTGTATCTTTCTCTCTCTCTCTCTCTCTCTCTCTCTCTTTCTTTCTATTTCTTTTACTTTTCTATTTTTACTTAAACTTCTTGTTTTTACTGTCACATATTTTATTAACTGTATTCAGATTCGCAGGATAAGATTGAGAAATATCTGAAAGATCAGAAGAAACTTTCCTTTAATATTCATTGCGGGACGTTGAGTAAAAATTTCATTTCTATTATGAATACCCATTATACTTTTGCAAAGACGAAAATTTATTTATTTAAAGATAGGATAAATCTATTCAATTACTAAACCTGATGAATAATTATCACGTTTGTCGAACGAATAAAAAAACCTATCGTTAATTTGAAATTTTGACAAATCATTTCGTGAAGTTAGGAGGACGCGAAGTAAATATTTCAACTTGTAAAATTTCATTTCAAAGCATGGAAGACAGTCGAACGTCATCTAGGAATTTCATTAAACCGTCGAGGACGGTTAGAGATGGTTCCAGTAGAAGAGAGTAAAACCTTGAGTAAAACCTTGCTGAGTACAATGGTAGACAAATAGAATGAAAGGAGGAGACCAGAAGATTAGAGAAGGATAAAAAAACAATTGAACGAAATGGAAAAACATGTCGATATCGATAGGAGAGAAATCTTGACAAAATGACACTGTTTGTTATAAGATTAATACAATTAAAGAAATAAAAGATTAGGAATGTCTTTTTTACAATTGACTTAAATACTATCTTAAATTGAAAGTAGATTACGTGTACTAGCTACAAAGCGATTGGGGATCTTACACCTTGACATGCATACGCGTACGCAAATATACGTCATATATATATACATACGTAAATTGACTTGACGGCTGCAGTTCGGGGTTCGAATTGCATCTATCAACTATATCAACTACTTACTAGAGAAAGCGAACAAGGAAATTAGAATCCAAGAGACACATAGACAGAGAGAGCGAGAGAGAGAGAGAGAAGAGACGTATATCTCTTGAAGCAATTCAAACCCAACCAGAGCTCGTGCAAGGAAAGCTTAAACGGAACGCTTGGTTACTTCTATCCCCAGGCTTTACCCATATAACAGATCGTTGAAATAAGGAAACGATTCGTGTTGGTGACCGGAGAAAGTAACAGATATATGATCAAATAAGACGATCTTTCTTACGTTAGTATAGGTTAAGGAAAATAGAAGATGATAGTTTACGAAGTTCTAAAGTACGAAGAACGATCGATTCAGACATCTGCGAGATAAAAATTACACTTCCATTCGAACTCGAGAAATCGCCTGTCTCTAGATATTCCGTCTAAACGTACCGGCTTTATTTCTTTCGATCTCCTTGTCTTTCATCTTTTTCTTTTACTTTATCTCGAAATAAAGGAGTACTCTTCAAAAACTCACTGATGCTATAAAACAAGAATGCACGGTTATATGCATACTATGTCTTTTTCTCTCTCTCTCTCTCTCTTTTATTTTTATTTTTATTTTTATTTCTCTCTCTTTTATCTTTCTTTTATTTCTTCTACCTTGGAATATCATAAGTATCACCTTGCTTTAACGAATGAAACGAAAAAATGTCTACAATAAAGAAACTAAAATCGAACAACTAAAATAAATGGATTATTTGTAAATAGAATTTGTCAAAATTTCCTTTATAGGTGAATCAGCTTCATCGGTCGACATGTCACCGATTTTGATCGGACTAGGCGGTACAGCAACTGGTTTGGGACTGATTGTAACTGGAGTTCTAATGGCCCTTTGGAGAAGACACGCGGCAACACCCACTAAACCAAAACCACTTCAACAATCCAGTATTGCGACATTTGCAAGCAAAGCTGAGGAAGAGGATGGAAATCCTGATCTAATACCTACCACTGCCTTGACGCATCATTTAACAGGTAATTTTATATTTTTTGATATTCGATTAAATAAAAAAATTAATTCAACGTATGATCAAAAAAATTATCAAAAAGAATTAAGTCTTAGAGATTTTTTCATTACAATTTTAGATAGAAAAATCCCGATTTGTGGTTCTTTGCCACGACGACCTAGACAATTAGAGGGTCGAGAAATGTCACACGATGTCTTGGAAGACTCAACTTATCCTCGAACGTCACCTAATGTAAGTAATTTGATTTTTATTATGTTTATTATTGACGTCATATTCGCGAGCTCTTCAATATTTTCTCTATGATATCTAATATGTATAAAAAAACAATCAAAATAAAAAATCTTTAATTACAAAATTTGCCACATTAATTACAGATAACAACAATAGTGTCTAAGTATTCCGTTACTTTCCCGATTCGAAATTTAAAAAATAACTGAACGTAACTTTCAAACTTAGAATCCGAATTTTAATTACGATAAGTGAATTTTTAAACATAATAGTTTTATAAACGTATGATCGATCTTGTTTCCAGACGTTTTATAGTCTTCAGAGGCCACATCGTTATTCCGAAAGTATGAGAAATACGACGATACAGGAAAGCTGCATTTAAGAAGAAAATTTCACAGAATCGTACATTAAGTAATTAAATGGCTTATTGATACTGCCAAAACACGATTCGTGAAATACGAATTTCTCGTACGGAGCCCGGTCATCGAATCACGTCCAGCAGGGTAAACGGATTTTCCGACATATTAATGGATTCCGAAGTTAAACAAGAAAAAGAAAGGAAAAATACGACGAGAGAGGTGAAGACAAGTGGAAAATATCAAATCATGCTTACACCATGTTGTACACGTTCGACCGTACGAAAACATTTATAACCATTCACTATGCATTTGTAAATATTGTATATAAATAAAAAACATCAATTTCGTGTTACGACCGAGATGCCTATATTTGATTAACCCAATTTTTCTTTTATCGCTTATTTAAAAAAACTAATATGTTATTTTCTTGTTAAATTATATACTTTTTAAATTTATTATTATACTTTGTTTTTGTTATTATAAAAATATAGATATTTGGAAATATTTCTAAAATATGATCATCAAAATAGTAATAATACTACTCATGTAGTACGCGTAAGTTCAAAATCGGACGTAAAATATTTTAACGAATATTTCAAGAGGAGATCGTTATCCGTTAATTTAAAAAACCAAACATCGCATACCCGTAGAAAGATTCCACAGTCGTCACCGCTAAAATGTGGGACGAGAAAAGTACGAGATTTATCTTGGCCTCCTTTCGTAACGATCTTTGTTTCAGGGCGCGTAAATCTTCGCGTTGTTAGATACATTTCGCGAGACATCGTGGCGAGCCCTTCACTTCCTCTTCCATAACTCCTCGGCCTCATTTCGCTCGTATTCATCCTTATTTTTTCCCTATTTCTTCCCTGTTGCATCCGTATTCCTAGCAAATGGCCTACCCCAAGTTATTCCTAACTAGGTAATATACCTCGACCGGAACACGTAATCGAACGTCCGAACTTCTTCGACCAATTTTTATTTTTTTTTTTGTCACGTTTTTGAACGCTAAGAAGCCATACGTACGATCGTTAGTTCAAACTTTTCCAACTCGTTAGCAAAACTTTTCTAACGAACTTTTATAACGATAAATCGACTTGCATTCTTAAACAAATACTATTAAGAGAATTGGAGAAAAGTTTCTAAGACAAAAAAAAACTATTTTAAATATTATTAGCAAAAATTGATTTTTAACGAGAGTCTCATTATACTATGCAATTAATGCTATTTAATCAACGCTGAACATTCAGGAATGGACAAGTAAATAGGTATATTTTCTTAATTTCAAAAATAATATATAAAGTATATACCTACATAACAACATGTAATGCATACATAATATGTAGAATCATAAGTCATAGATATACGTAGATACTTGGAAGTAATGCGCACGATATCGAACGATAAAAAAGAAAGAAAGAAAAGCAGAGGAAAGTAACGGATGGTAAATGGCTGAGAAAGAGGACTTTACTTGTGGCGCTTTACCTACGAGCTACGTGCAGACGTTCTGAGAATCCCCTTAACGTCTTCGCAGGCTGAAACTTTTATGATTTCACGTTCGAGCACGTCCGTTTACGATCCACGAGTAGAAACGAACGAGCGTGGAATTTCCATGTAGGACTGCAACACTGTAGCTGCTTTTACCGGTTGCATATACCCTCGTCTAAACCGCACGAGATTCTTACCTTCTTTCGAGAAATCAACCAACCGATTTAACCGCCAACCAAAAATCTCGTCTCTTTCTATCGACTTCCTCCTCGTATACTTTGAGATACCGGATAAAGCAGGAAACATTTGAGAAATATAACCTTTCTCGAATCCTCGAATACCCACCCACCCGCTTTAGAATAAAACTTTTGCTTTTTCGTTTACTACCTTACTTACTTCACGCAAATTAGCACGCTTTTACTTTTTATATCTTCTCTTTAACTCCTCGGTCTTTTCTTCTCTCCTAGCATCTATATTCTTTCCTGGCTAATACGCTTTTCTTCCTTTTCGTTTCATCCTAATGCAAGAACTTTTTTCGTACAATTGCAAATGCATCCTCGTGAATAATGATTACGCTTTGCTTACCGAAAGCACCATTTTTCCTACTCTTTTTTCTTCAGGAGCAACGCGGACAAATAACTATAAAAATATCTTATTGTAAAGTTTACAGGATCATCGTTTCAAAGAAAAATCCTTATCTCTTTCGTATACCGATATTTTTTTTCTCACGTTTAGTTTTACATCGAACTTAATACTGTAATATTTAATTTAAAAAAAAAGTAACAAAATATTATAAGTACATTTAAAAAGTATTTAAAACCTGACACGAACCTACATACGTTACAAACAAGATGGATCGATTTACTAAGTAAATGCTATAAATATCCTCCCTTCACCTTATATCTAATTATTATTATTATTATTATTATTATTATTATATTATTATTATTATATTATTATTACCTAATTATTATTAATAATATATAATATATTAAATAAAATTAATATATAAATTAATATACATAACACATATTTTGAGAGAAGAGTATAAGAATTAATATATAAATTAATATATTTAACACATATTTTGAGAGAAGAGTATAAGAATTATTATGTGAATTCATTTTAATAGAATATACACCACAACCCTCTTGTGAACTATCTAATCGAAAAACAATGAACAATTAATTTATCTATTCGTTAACTTAACACACGCGTGAGCAAAATTTAGAAAAGAAAAATAATTAAAGGATAATTTAATTAATTTGATTTACCATGTAGAAAATAAAACACACACATATATAATCGTATCTCAAATATATCTTATTATCAAATAAAAAACACAACAATAATACAATTGAAATAATAAACAATTATATTAACTTGACGCAATATAAACAACACACTTATATACCACAATTATCAATATTAAAAAATCAATGAACAAATTAAACAAATTCATTGCCAACTTACAACAAAAATAACATTCAAACAAAACTTCATATACAATAATATAATAAAGTATATATCAATCCTAATTAACGTTATCATTTTTAAAATTAAATAAAAAGTAATTCCATTTATCTGTCTCCCTATAAACACCCATACACCCATACACCCACACACACATTCTTAACAATATACTTATATGGATGACGTAGTAGGAATATTAATAGAGACATTGGTATTGAAAAAAGATTGCTAAGAACAAGGGTGGGTGGATTGGGGGGGTAATATTATTATTTCAGTCTACGAGACGGAAAGAAGCAGAAGCAAAAAAAGAAGCAACCAAAGAAAAAAAAAGAAACTAAAAAATATAATAAAAAAGAAAAGTAGAATAAGAAGAAGGTTTCGAGGTTAATCGGTGGGGGAAGGGCGAGGTACTCTCTCTCTCGATGGTTCTTTGTCTCGATAAGAGAAAAGGAAGGATGAGGAGGATGAAAAGGGGGGATTTGGAAGGGGACAGGGAGAGGGAGAGGGACAGGGGGAGGAAGAGGAGGAGGAAGAGGAGGAGGATGGTAACGTGCGACCTCGCTCGGACCTTGAACGTGCGAGAGGAGTCGGCTTTTGTACTTGACAACGACACACAACCTACGAGGACGATGTGAGGACGAAAAGGGATACACGAACACGAAGGGTGTCTCAAAGGCTAAATACTTATCATAAATCAACCTTTCAACAACGATCATACTATTTTCGAGTATTATTTATTTATACGATGTTATACGTGTCAGACGTTAATATATTTATACATTTTTTTTTTTCGAATGTGTGATTATTATTATTGTTATTATTATTAATATGTTATATAATTATTTTATTATATTATATTATATATANACAATGTTATAATTGTTTCCCATTTTTATTTAATAATTAATTATTTTTCTTTTTTTTTATATTAATTAATATTATTTTATTGTATAAACGTATTATAAGGTATGCAATTTTATGCACATTTTCTTTTTAAAATAATTTTCAAAGAAGACAATGTTATAATTGTTTCCCATTTTTATTTAATATTTAATTCTTATTGCTTTTCTTCGTTCTTACATTTATTATACTTCGGTGTTATCATGGAGGACGTTCAACGGGAGAGAAGAAAAAAAGAAAAAAGAAAAAGGGGAGAAAAAAAAGATTTAATCGTAGAAACGAGACGAGACGAGACGAGACGGGACAGATGTGAATCTAAGGTGAATGAAGGTCGAGTTTTATTTTTATATCGAGACGAGAAAGAGAATGAGAGAAAAAAAAAACAATAAGAAAGATAAAAAGAGAGAGTGGGAGAGAGGATACTTATCGTTGGTTGGTCTGTCAGTATATTATATCGATTTATAGACACATTCGATATGAATTTGCTACAAACTACGAGGGATAATATTACGAGAAATCTTTTTTTTTTTCTCACCCCTCATTTCTTTTCTAATCTTCTCAATTATATTCTTTTTTCTTTTTTTTTTTTATTATCCATCCACTCATCGTAGTTATCTTTAGATTGATATTGGAATACTATAATATCTCTGATAACACAAAAAATAATTATATATTTTAAATTATACTTACATAATATAAAGAATGATTTTAATTATCTCTCTTTCTCTCTCTCTCTCTCTCATGTGTAAATGTTTATATATTTATATTGAGAATATTATTTTTCTTTAGGCGATTATATGATTAATTTTTCCGGTTGGGGATAGGGTAGGAGAAGGGGTTGGATATATAATAAGATATTTTAAATAAATTTAATATTATATATTGAGATTCTTCAAGATGTTTTTATCAGTATATTGCAACGTGCAATGGGATATTTGTTGTTGTTGTTGTTGTTGTTCTATTTGATATAATATGTTGAAAAATAATAAATTAATTCTATAGAATATAAATATCGAAAATAGGAGGA